TTCCTAATAGATATAAACTCTATTATTAACCGAGTGAGAACTGTTATCAATAAATTGTCTACAATCTAGTGCGTGTACAACTCAAATCATAGTACCTGAATCAATTCAATTCAACTTAACGTTACTACAATCCGCGTTATATCGCTGGCAGTATCTTTTTTTTTTGTCTCTTCTTCGACATCACCCTCTCAAACGAACCCTATCAATATTCGCTACAACATTATCATAAAAAAAGAATCGCTGAAGCAATAAACCTCAAGCGAGAGGTGGTCATATTCAATCAGTCGTAGTTCTTTAAAACATTGTTAGATTAAAAGCATCGTTATAAAATGAAGACATTCCGAAAGCATTCCCCAGCAAAGCATACATAACAACAACAGATTTTACTCAAATTCATGAAGCTATTTTGAGATTTCAAACAGTGATGAAAAAAATATATCGTTGGAAAGCGTCCGATGAAATATCATAAATTAAACCTTGTGCTTGATGCACTTCTTGAATGACACGATGCATCAGCTCGTCATACATAACTGTATCTGCAGCACCGTCATCTATGTTGCAGCCAGTGAGTTGGGAACTATATGTTCGATTAATCGACAGCGGCCAGCAGAAATTCACATTGCAGCGCTGCATCATTTCTGTAGTCATTTCCATCCCTAAAATGAAAAAATCCAGAAATACAAACAAAAAGATTTCTGCTATTTATGGACCTTGTTCAGGGGTATTAATGCAAGTTCAACAATGTTTGCAAAAACAGGGAATACAATTAAGGCCTCATAATTAAGAAACAACCATAGTCCCAATACTTCTGTCAACCAGAAAGAAGTACTACGTTTCAGAATCAACAAAACTGGTTAGTAAAGACAAGAGTGAATGAGAGATAAAGCATTATAGGAAAAGGGAAATAATTTTCAGCTGTTCTCAAAACCTGGGGATGTCTTTAATGTTGAAGTGGCCCCACAATACAAATACTATAAATGCCTGTCATTTTGAGTGATCTGAACATGGAAAGAAGTAAGCATCGTAACAACTCGAGGGATAAATGTGAATTTGTATACTGCTGTTCAATCGGAACATTCCCATGCTGCGGATCACAAAATGCCGGATTAGCTGTGTTGAATATGACGGCCAGCTTGCCTTGTTTGCCTAAATTTACTTACTTATATATTTTCCAAGTCGAATTACGCAAATATTGCTAACTGGTAAACGTATTTTATGGATTCGAAAATCGAAGAGACAAATTTTTAAGCTCAAAATGTGGCAACTCCCTATTTTTGTAAAAACAGTCGCTTGTAAAAAAAATTTAGCAAAGTACCAGTTTCTCAAACGATGTTTCAAAGACCCAAATAAAACAATGAATCAACAGACCAAGGAAAGCATTGCTCAGATAAAACATTTCTTGAGGCGAATTCCACATCCAATACCGCAGCATAACTTGTTCTAGAGCCGAGCACAACGCAATATTCATCTGTACTTGATTGTTTCCAAGTGCTGTGTAACACCAAAGCATCAAATTAACCTTAAAAGATTATCTGAAAGACGAAATCAATCCAATGTTGTCAAGTTATCTTCTAATTTTTTACCAAGCGATATCACACAGTTAAATTCAAAACCAACAAAATATCACATATGAGGAACTAAAGAAATGAACCTTTGATCCCACTGGCAATGCATAACTGATGAATCGATATGAAAGGATATCACAAAGAACAAAAAGTAAATCCCGGGATCGATCTTGCTGTACCGGTCCCAAATTGCTGTTTTTGTTTACTGAAGCTAATGTGGAGGACAGCAACGCTAATACTTGTTTCACGCCATATTCAAACTCCGTAGTTACTGCCAAACGTACAAGTGTATCTGAATTAAAAGAAATCGAACATGAGACGGCAGACCACAGCATGAATACGTCATACAAAATGTAACCAGAAGCGAAAATCACAAATGAAAAAATAATAATGAACCGATTGTTGCAGGACTGGGCAATTTTTGTGTTTGCTGAACTGAAAGCATAGCTGTAAGTTTCAATAAACAAAGCTGGAATAAATGATTTCGTGCATGGAAAGTTAAAGAATCGATCAATGAAAGTGGTAAAGGTGTCTTTTTCGAATAGGAAATGATCCCATGGGGTAAATGCCAAACTGTATTCATTTCTTCCGGAGACCCATCCAGAAAGACATCCACTGCTGTCAGAACTAGTTTCTGGAAATTCGGCATATCGCTGCTGTCTGAAAAATTGATAAAAAAATGGCTTTCGCATCCAAACATAATCCTTATCCCACACTATTCAGCAGAAAAGCTTCATACGATTTTGTTTACTTTTTTTTATAGTCATATAAAATTATTGTACGTGCATTTTAAGTCATATATATTTTTAGCTACTCTAAGAGATATGATGCCTCTCTCGAAGAAAAACTGGGCTGTACTGTCTGTTATAACGCTGTGGAAATCAGTGTGGAAAACTGTGGAAAACACTTCTCCATAAAGTACAACAATTGAACATAAAACAAATATTAGAAATATTAAAGAAATGTAGAAGTCAGTAACTGCTTTAACAATTTTCATTTCAATCATAAATCAAAAGGAAAATTCAAAAACAAGCCAGAACTTAATCCTCACAAGCATTAGCAACAGCAGCCAGAACTGCATTATGATCAGCGACATTTTGGATATTGGGATCTGAATCTGCTGTTCTTTCCTGCAGAAACTGTATTTGTCGCCACAGAGACTCGGAGGGTTTAGGAAGTACCTCTGTATGAGAGTTGCCTAATTTCTTGTAAAAATGTATCCAAATAGCAGCCGGAACCAGGAATCGGACAAACAGCAATGGATCTGTGTCTGCACCAGACCATGTCTGCTCATCACTGAATAAATAAGATCAAAATTGCACAACTTTTCGACTGTGTGCTTATTTAACCAACATATACACGAAAACTATATCTAAACAAAATCATATGTTTGAAATAAACTGAATTATTACACAACAAACCTGTAAAGTAAATTATAAATTTCGGCAACACGAATCATTTCCTCATTTGATACTCTATCGATGTAAACTGCAACATATTGCAAAATAACCCACATCAGCTCATCTCTTCCTTTTCGATACACTGTTTCAGAAAGCTGCAATTTACTGGTCGGAGAATAAAACGGAAATTATATACCTCCTCTCCTCTTATATAAATGCATAGAAAATTGTGTTTTTTATCCAAACCTTCATAAAAATCAAACCAACAGTGAAATTTACTGATTCGTAGAGTATTTTGAGGAGAGGAGTTTGGTCACTTCAATCGAGAATCAGGTCGCGACATACTTTAAATGCGCCTCATGTCAGACACGAGAAGCATTTAAAATACGTCGCGACCTGATTCAGTTTTTTAGAGTACGTATTACAAATAAATTCTATCCTTACTGATTCGTATAATATTTTAAGAAGGCGAGAAAAGGAGGCATTTCCATGAAGTAACGAGAATGTAACTGTTTGCGTAATGTTCATCCACTGATATTGGTTTGCAGGATCGTCAAGGCGCGTATCGGTCTTTTCCATTTCGCTCATAGCCTCGAGAATGATCATGTGCAGCAACTCATCACACTGTAGTCGCTGTGGGGTCAAGTTTGTATTCTGTCGCATCACATACTGCAATATATGTACACCTAATTCTAGATAAGGTATTTTTGCAATTCTTCTCATGCTTCCTTATTTGTTAACTTTCAATTACTACGTGAACAAATTTCCATTCATAATCATTGAAAAAATATGTGTTTTTCCAAAACTCCCTCAAATAATACTATCGACTTACAGAAATTGTGTCTTTTCCGCGAGGCTGTCGGAGAAGCGTATAAAGTAAAAAAGACTGCGGAGCGAAAAGCTCAGATTTGTACGGAAGATGAGCTCGTTGATGCAACCGAGTAGTTGTGACCTCAAGCTTCCAAGATGGCGTACTCACTGGAAAAGAAATGTGAGCAGCTACTGGATAAAGCCATGAACGACCGATTATTGTTACCATTTCGGTAAGTGGTCGAAAAGAAATAAACATATCGTTGAATTTTTTCGCCACCCTCTGCAAATAAATATTAATCCGTTTTAGCAACCACCTTCGCTAACATATTAATGAGACATTCTTTCAAATCCACTACATATAATGGTTTTTTCTTCATCTGAATTTGAAAGCAGGCAAAAACTACGGTTGAAATTGTCGTTGAATGTTGGGATACTTATAAAAAAATTACTTATAAAAAAATTAACGAACTGGCAAAAGAAAGGCACGTGAATTACTGGAAACACGATGTAGCTCAGTAATCGTGAAAATGCATGGAAGAAGGTTTAGCTGTCGATCGATTAAAGTTAGCAACATCTGAAAAGTTAACTTAATGAATAACGCTTTCAGGAGTACGTTACATAAAATTATATAAATATGGGAGTACGTTATATAAAATTATATAAATATGGCTGGATGATATTATTTCACTTGAAAAATATAACTATTATGAGAAAACCGAACATTTTCTACAGGTAAAAGCATATGGCGATGATGATGTGTAATGGTAGACGGAACTTCCTGCATGCGTTCAACTACAAGTAACTTCAAAATGTTTCGAAGACCTTTGTAATCGATCAGATGTAAATTTTTCTGCATGTATTCAAATTTGCGCGAATCTATTGGCGTCGTAAGAGTGAAGTTGGTGCAAAGAATAAGAAGTTCACAGCAATCGCTGGAAAAATATACTCAAAGTAAGTTTACTTTCCCATTCTTCCACTGAATCAGAAAGTTTTCACACCAGCTATGAATAAATAGAAGGATAGAATTTCGTCTCGTTTGTTCCATAAAATTTGAAAGTGATTCGAAACAAAATATGGGGGATCGAACAGTCTAAATGGAGTTTATGATAGTATTTCTTTGAAAGTATTTCAATATGGACTAACGAAAGAGGAAGGACGCCTTCATTGCAGGCAGACATAAATATCGAAGATAAAATCCTCTCATAATGGATATGCCGAGGATCATCCTTATTTGAAAGCAACGTAAGGGATGCTTTGCAACATTGTGCCTTCTCTTCCTACAATCCATACGCAGTTTATTTTGCGTGTTATAACATCTCACAAAAACACATTCAATTATTTTAAAACATCTAGAAGGATTTAAAAATCAAATCCATACCTCAGTCATTGTGCGCAACAGCTTGATGGCTTCACTGCATGCCAGCACATCTACGTCAACGTCCTTACTTAAATCCCAGAACATTTCACGCATTTGTACTCCTTCCTGTATTTAATTGACACAGCATTACATGCAAAAACAAACAATGATTATTCCATCACAACAATCCGTGTTATATAAAGCAAGAGTGCTATCGTATGGAAATAGACAAAAAAAAATTAGAAGCACATACCACTTGGTTTAATACGATCCATTGTAATTTCTCCGCGTCATTACCGACCGCTGCTGTAAGCGAGACAGATGATGTTGTTGTTGCCTCCATATTAGTACTCATATCGTTATACTGGACTGAAAATTGCGTAAGGGTTAGTTTGCTAGTAATTCATTGACAAATCATCGCCCCGAGTGGTTCAAAACCTGAAACCAAACAACTAATGAGCGGTCATGTGTGACCCCACTCAAAATACTCGTGTTATGTATGCATTGAAGATCTATAATTTCTTAAGAGTGAATCCTTCTTCTTTGCCCTCTTCTGCCCATTTCAATACCAGCAGTCTCACACAATCTGGAAGAAGATTCATTCGCGTCGGATATTCTCGAGGACGTGTTGAAGCTGACAAGTCCTACCATTAAGTGGCCTCTGGTAACAGATGGAATGCACTGATAAACGCTGGTCTTTACGACATGTGGTCTCACATGTCATAGAGGAATCAGATATGCGCCATTGTCACCTATCTTGCCTATTCACCCACTACACTTGCACCATTATTTCGGGTCATTTTGTTCAAGACGGGATATCAGTTGCATTGGATTATTTCGACAATTTTGCCAAATTGGTCTGTAACATGCTCATTTGACGTGTATAAAAAAGCATAGGTTCAGTGGTCGTATATGGCATAGTGTATACGGGTTGTTCTGGTGGTTTTGGGAGATGCGGGCTGTTCACGCAATTTGTTTCAGCCATTTTGCGAGGAGACGTAGCTCGAAGTTTAATACGACATTTATATACATATATAACATTAAATAAAAACACAAAAGGTTATGGAGGAAGAGGGAACGAGGCAACGAGCTATACAAATTTGTGTACTGATATGGCTTATGAAGCGGTAGTACCCATCTGAATGGGAGATCAGAATTCTGCAAGGTTAGGAAAATCAAACTATGCGAGGCTTGGGTTTTCTGCAAACAACATGACCATTAAGTTTTTGCAAAAGATTCCCATGCGATGCGATCAAGATACAGAGCCAAAACATAAGACAGTAGATTATGTCGTTCCTGGTTCGCACAAACTGGTACTGATTCGCCGCACTGGTCGCAGCGGTACTGAGTTTGCACCTTTTGCGAATAGAGCCTGAAGTGCAACATTGTATTACCACATCAAAATTGACTGCATAATTTGCAGATATGTCATCGTGCCATCAAAATCATATTCTTTGCCCTTTTAGATATTATGAGCAAAAATTCACTAATGAAAAACAAAGTTGCGGAACGTACTGGATGTACAAATGGTAAGACGCCACCACCGGGACAGGTAACTCGAGCACAGAACTGATTCAGCTCCTCGTCATTCTTCATAGCAAGCACGATATGACGGGGGATAAGTCGCTGACGTTTATTGTCCCGACAAGCATTCCCGGATAACTCCAACATCTGCAACACAGCAACTGAATACAATACAAGTGAGGATGAGCTGTAAGGGTGCATGAATCACTATATGCTTGCATAATATTTTCTAACAACTAAAGGAACATGTATATGCAGGTCCTTACCTCGGCAGAAAGATACTCGATGACAGCGCTCAAATAAACAGCTGCGGACTGAGAGATCCGTCTCGCATAACGACCTTTCCTAAGCAGTCGATGAAACTTGGTTACGGGAAATAGTAGTCCAGCACGAGCTGATTTGCTTACCTTCTTAGCTTTCCCACCGCCTCGCTTCCCGGCTGGTGATCGACCTCCTTTATTCTGTAATTCTAAGTCTTTTTTTTCGATTTGTAATTTAATCCAGTTTCCAACGTCAATTTCCAACATTAGTGATCTGAAATTTCCAACATCGGATAGAGTTACATATAAGCGCTACTAATTTAGTGAGATGTAACTCTAATGATGTATAAATATCATGTTCCTGAAGCAATGCTTTTACCGTAGATCGAACAAACTCGGGAGTCCTGATACTATAAATGTTTGGAAAATTTTCGTAAACTTTCTACCTTTCTTGTATTTGGTGGGGATGGCACACTCGATTTATCTTCTTTTTTTGCGAGTAAGCTGTCCAATACCGCCATAAAAGCTTCTGTCTGGAACAAGCATTCATGAAATCTCTATTATTAATCCATGACGCAGTATTGAGACAAACATTCTATGTAGAAGACTGTTCTGTTATGTGCATAAAAAGAGCTAGTTTTATCAATAAGCATTATGAAATGAAATATAGGCCTAGGTTCTTGAAATCAGAAGAGCAAATTGTTATGGAGTAAAGAGGAAGGACAAAAGGCAAAGAAGACAAAAAAGTACTTTACAGTTAAGATGAAGACTTTCTTAGCACTGGATTGGTAAGGATATGACACCAAACTCTACTACTCAGCCAAGGTTCATCAATTCTGCTTATATGGTCTACGGATTGGAGATATACAACTGATTATCTGTTGTATCAAAATAGAGTAAACATTAACGAAAAAAAAACGATGTTCCATGAAAGTTAATGAAATGATAAAGCAAATTGTACTGTTCAGGTACCACAGCTCTGATTTTTGCGCTTTAAGCGAAGAAAAAAAAAAAACAAGCACGGAATGACAGTGACAGTGAAAGACAAAATGATGATAAATGTTGATGTTATAGGAAACGAGGAGCACCAGGAGGGGAAGCACCATCAGCAAGACCATCGACACCACGATCGATTCCAGGGTGCTCAGCTCTCTGCATTATGTGTTTTTTGGTCGTTGGTGAGGAGAGGCATTTCGAGAATCGAGAAATGTCAATATACAACAAATGAACTCTTGTTGAAGTGGAGAAGTTCGATAGTAATGGTAGCGCGGGGTGCCCACTGGCACTAGCCGAATGATACCGATCACTCATCGATTATTCGTTACTGCGCAACAGTAATGAAAACTGTGTTGGGAATGGTGATCTCAGTAATGGGTCTGTTTTCCCCGAAAAGATGCCTCGAATGAGTAATTCACTTCCTCTCGAACTACGTCGGGTCTCTATCGTGAGTGTAAATGAAAACGCTGTTAGAGCATCCAACAGTGTCGAAGCCTTAAGAGTCTTTTTTGAGTCTTTTTGTCTTAAGAGCCTTGGAGTTTTTTCTAATATTAAAGTAATACAGATGAAAGTCATTTTTCAAACCTGGTTGATTGACCACATTACTGGGGAATCTAGAACACCTGCGGCATTTTTGTCTTCGTTCAAAGGCCTCTTTCAGCGGTGACACTGACTGTTATTATATTGGACGTGGCACTTCCAGTAAGAGTAGAGAAATTGCAGAGGAAGAACTGAAGATCGCAGGATATGGTAAATCTACTGCTATTACTAAGCTCATCGTGGTTGCCAAAAATTATTGGCAAGAAGAGACGGGAGTGAAGTTCGGGTGGCAAAAAAACCTGTATAGCGATCTTAGATATTTCAGTAGGGGAATATTCTCTGGCTGAAGTGGAGAAAGTAAAGTAGAGTTACGATTGATTTGAGAAATAGAAAAAAAAAGCTGAGAAAGAAAGTATCGCCAGTCTTGGACAACTCTCTGCAGTAATCAATTATTTAAAACGGACGAAAATGGACGAGAAGTAAATGGTTATGGTATGCGTAGGAATATTTTGTTATTTAAAAAAAGTCAGTTAAAGTGGAATCGTTTGCGAGGAACGGCGGAATCGCGTATGGTTAACTTAGTGGTTTTCTTGACCAAGGATTACTTTGGCTTTTCTAGTTGTAGCAGGTTCGAAAATAATGAATTCTGTTAATTCAAATGTAAACTTTAATCAAAACTTTTAACGACTAGGTTTTTTTTTTCCTACTCACGGCAGTGCTGCCCTCGAGAATCATATTTCAGTCCTCGCGAACCATCGGTTGGTTAGCCGCTAACTGAAACGATGGAATCGAGAATGGCCAGCTGAGATGTTAGGATCGAGAATGGCCAACTGAAAAGAAAAATGAATCAAAAGAAGAAAACTTTTCACAAAAAAAGAAAATTTTTTACAGTTTAAATGAAGCATAAGAGATTAAATGCTGGGGTAACAAATGTGTATTCAATTCGGAACTGATCTTAGTTTCCTTATTTTATTCGTCACAGAAAAACGTGAAGAATACAACGTTGAATTTAAAGCGAGGCAAAAATATCTATCAAAAATGGATTATAAGACCGATCCTGATAACTGCAAAGAACTGTCTGGTTAAAGGAATGAATTTACCAAAGAACATCAATGAAAACTCTTTATTTTAGTCTAAACATTATCGTCTTTAGAGCAAAAATGTATTAGCAATGATAGCACGAATTATTTTTTTCAAGAGAAATAATTTCTTGCATATATTAATTCATTCTTTTTTATTTTTTGTTTTTTCTCTAGCCCAGGAAGTTCTTCCGAAATAACGCCTGCAACAGCGTTAATCAATACTCTGAAATTTTCTAAGTGGAAGATTAAGGCCCTACACCATATTAAAATATTATAGAAGTTTTTATAAGATCGTTGTCATAAACAATTACTTATGATTCGATTGTTGATGACAGTCTTCTTGACGATTATGTTGAAGAGTCAATTTTAGGAAAATTTCCAACCGTAGTTGATGACCTTGCCATTATCCAAAATTTGATGAATTGAGTAAGAAAAGTTGCCGGCAATCGATGACTTAAATTTTTCGAATTTTTGATGTAAGTTTTAATCAATCTTATGAAGTTATATTTCAAAATTTGAATAATCATTATGTGTATCATAAATCGGTTCAATCAAAATTGCATCTACCGCGACACAGCGCAATAATAACCTTCGCCTAATTCATTTTAAGCAGAATATTTTGTGGCATGTAAGTGATTTGAAACATGTCACTCAGTTCTGGTTTCTCATAACAAAACTGATTCCGGATGAGACTGAGCAGATGTACCTTGCATTTATATATGTAAACAGGACTGAAGCAAAAATATTGGTAGAAAAAAGATTTTTTGTTAACTCCAAGAGATATTATGTCAGGTATATTCTGAACCTAATTTTATTCAATTTTCAAGAATATAAAAGTCATTAACCAGATATTAATTTAACTAGGTATTAATTAGATATCAACCCTCTTGCTTCACGTTTCTTTCCGCTACATATGTAATATTATGGCGGTATGATAATTTGTTTCTTCCTCTTTTGCTCTTGTTTAACACAATAAGCTTGTTCTACTGCAAACACATAATATTTTGGTATTTATGCTATCTTCAAAGAGTAATTCCGCTGAAACAGTAATTAAATTTAAAGAATGCATTTCATTTTAAAAAGAATTCAACGAATAAAAAGGTGATGTTATGCTACTATTCAGAAGAATCACCAGGGTCGATTCAATGTCCGATATTACTTAGAAACAGTTGCATACAAAGCAGAACTATTCCAAACATATCTTACTCTAGATGCATTTCATAGTTAATCATTTTTCAATTATCGTTCCAACAATAAATTCTGTCCTATGATGTGAGATAAATTTCAGTTTCTTTTAGCTTTTATTAGCAATTAAACTAAATTAATGTGAACCAATTCAAAACATGCTCTCATGTTTTAAAAATTTTATGCCTAATTCACTTCCTAGCATCTCGTAACTTTGCATATAACTGGATGTATTTTACATTTCCTTGACAACCACTGACATCTGAGGATACTAACTTCAGAAATAGGTAAGAATGAAGATTTGGAGAGATAGCTAAAAGTCATGCTAGCTGAGATTAGACGACGAATAAGTGATGGACTGAATGAGTACGTGTGGATATGGAAATGAACTAATACGAATTAAGAAGAGACGTCATTATTTCCATTTTGCAGGTGGAGCAACACAAACATATTAAACGAAGATTTATGTGCGTTTGATCTGGGTGACACTGACATGTACAAATGCTCTCTCTTGAGTTGTAGGAGCATTTTCAGTATTTCTCAAGCAAACTATCCATCTCAATTCCGCTGCCATAATCTCAAAACAAAATTTTTGTCTATTGCAGTAACAAGTGAAGAGAGAGAGAGAGAGAGAGACCCTTCAAGGAGGTAAGAAAGTAAAGATGGACGACACTTCCTTCCTCTTTCTTTCCCTTCTCCTTGTTTGTAATTGATTTGAACAGTTCTCTTCCTTTTAAATCATTACCCCATAATGGCTGGTGTTTCAACTAAAGAAGTGCTAGAAGAGACGCTGGTATATTGCAAAGCACGGGGGAGAGGTGAAAGATATCCCGGGAACTCCATCGCCCTACTTATCCACCAGTTCTGTTGACTGTTTCATTGTTACGCCTAACAACTCACACTCCTCTCTTCAAGTACTTCATTGAAATATTTTGTGTTTTTGTCAAACAATTCAAACCTTCAAGTTCTATCATCGCTGCAATCCTGTAAGTTGTTGCTGGAATATATCATCTTGAGCATTCAGATGCCCCTGTTTTTTTGAATAAAATTAAATTTCTCATAAGAAATGCCTGAAATAAAACTGAGCTGACAATGGTAATGAGAAGAGGAATTCATAAGGAAGCCTACAATCGTGCCTTTCATTTTAATAGTAGTTAAGAAAAATCGAGGATTTTAGGTGTAAAGGATTATTATTGATAAAACTTGAAAAAACCACCTAAATAGAAACACAAATAGTCATTAAACGAATGTGATCGTTTTCATTAAAGAGCCTCCTTGAAACGTAACTGATAAGGCCATCACCATTTAGTGTTTTTTATAATTTTCTTGTCGCGTTTAGTGAAAAAAAAATTTAAAAACAAAAACAACACAATTTTTTGACAATTTCCAACTACCTTAACAATATCTTGTTTTCCGTTTGCAGTGGATGATCGTTGAAGATATGCAACAGAGGGATCGGTATCTAATCGAATCATTTGTGATCGCTTTACCCGGTTAATGCGATAATTTTGTATTTAGCAGTGCAAAGAATTAATTTGAAAAATTTTAAATTTATAAAGGAGAGAAGTTAAGTTGTATATCGCTTTGCTAGTCATTACCCCCACATTTAAATTAATGTTTTACAGGAAGTCGTGACCGTTCAGGATCACCATTACTATTTATTAATTTTATGGATGGTAACTGCAAGCAGCCCGGTATTACTTTTGCATGTCCTTTTTTGTACTACTACTATCCTTGCCTTTTCCATTGCTTTTATATTACTTATGAAATTTTCCCACAACTTATTAGTGAAAAATCTATTGCACGTAAACTAATTTCTTCCATGTCTTTCCGAGACCTAAATTTAAAATGATCAGGAATTTAGTTTGATTCATAAAATTAACTTCCGCAACTTTCTGATTACTATTATTTGCAGGTGGCTTACTGCTAACATTGTTTTATTATTTCTGATTCATATGCACTCTTTAATGACTGTAAAGTTAACTCGAATCTTCTATGAAGTTTAGGCATGGAAATGGTTAATGCTCCAAGTTATGAAGAGCTCGTATCAGTCATTAGTTACTTGTCCCAAATACCTGATGAGAATATTTGCAAGCTAGGATTTACAGTAGTGATCGATGGGCGCAAAGCAACTGTAAAGTACGTACGTAGTGCATTACGAGCATGTCAGGTCTGTGTCCATTCATTTTTCTAGAGTGCCAAATAAAATAAAATTAAATTTTAAATTAAAAGCTTAACATTGCAGCAAGCACTATATCGGCGAATTCGATCTGTACTTGTCATTCAGCCGGAGAAATTCTTGGACCAGCAAAGACTTAATTTTGAGCTTATCAAAGAAGCTTATCAGTTCAAGGTAAGTGTTGGTTTCAAAGAATTTTTCACGATAGATAGTCTTCTGTTTAAGTAATGGATGAAGGGCACAAAAATTATTATTCCAAATAATGCTCAATTTTAGACAAATTCCCTATTGTGAGGTCAGTTCTTATTTAAACAAAAATAATAGGTAGGCATGGCTTCAAAGAACAATCTTTGTGCGAAGTCAACGAGGGAAAGAGGAGACAGCATAGAAGATAGAAAAGATATATATTGTAATTGTTTCACTTCATTCTAGTGCACCCTAATCTCTGTACATAAATTATCACGTTTCGTGGAGGTTGTGGAATTACCAGATGCACTCGGCGGCACTCTCCACTACGACCCATATTCATGGATTTTATTTAGACAGGTTCTTTTTTGTTAAACATTATGTTATGTTGAGTAATTTACTTTTTTTGCTTTTGACTTTTTTTCTCACGCGAACGTGTTCAAGAAACTTGAGGATTACATGAGGAAAGCGAACAGTTGGATAGAAAACAGCAAAAAACTTACCTACACGACGTCAAGTAATTCTAATGAGAAGGCTTTTGAGGCGGATAGTTTCAACTCAAATGAACTTCTCAAAGCAGGTGAGAATTTCCATAGAGTTCCTTTTACATCTTTTTTTCGTTCTTTTTTTTTTTTTGTGATAGAAGTCGAACTACTGTTAGCCTTTGTGGTATAAATTGGGAAAAAAAAAGAGCCATGAGAAAAAAAACTTTCTCATAAATCTAACTCACAGATGAGGTGAAGTTATTCTGCTTAAGCCTACACAATTGTTCGTTTAGGAGGCGATTTACTTGATGAATTAACGCAAAATAGTGGGATAAGAGCGCTGAAAAACATCGATTGGTACAACGCTGTGCATCATGTCAATCTGCTCATGAAACAAATTAAAGTTCTATAAAGATTCAGTATATGAATAAGACTAAACTCTTTAGCATCAGTCTCTCTGTTTGATGAAAACAATTTCTCTTCATTCTTTCACGTTTCAATTGATAATATTTTGAAATTCAAATTTTATTCATGCACAAAAAATCTTCCCTTCCCGTTTACTTTCTAATTTAGTTTAACTTGACTATTGATTCTAATTTGTCTATTTATTTGCTGTTCAGTGCCAAGCCTTCTCAGTTAATACTGGCTAGGATTTGTCAAGGATATAGTTTGACCCTTTGAGCTTCTTTCACATTTCATTGGGAGGAATTGCGACGGGGAGACTTTTCGCTCAGAATAGTGATAGTAAGGGTAACTACAAAAATAATGAGATTAGAATAGTTAAATCTTCTTACAGGATATCAAAGAGAGGCCAGCAGAAGTGGCACATCAGGAGGAGAGATATGCATCACTGAAGTTGCTGGGAAATTATGATGAAGAAGTACATAATTTAGTGAACTGGATTCTGGGCGCTGGTGAGAGATGGCTTCTGACCTTACATGAAATTGGTGAATCATACGACGATGCCAAGCAATTACTGAAAGAACACAATGAACTGGAAAACAAGTCGATAGTCCGTTCAGTGGTGTTTTGTTGATAAATGTTAGAATGAATGAACAAATAAGTATTTTGCACTTCTGGCAGGTACTAACAACGTTGTGGTAGATAAATATTTGATTTTACAGGTAAACGAAAAAAATGAACTGAAGATTAAGTGGTGGTCAGTTTCTAAACAATCTGTAAATTTTGTTAGGATGTGGAAGAACAATCACATGAACTGATAGCAATGGGACGTGAGCTACAACATGAATTCCCAAAACATGCCGTGGCATTACAGCAAAACATAGATAGAGTACAACAATTAGTTCGTGCCTTCTGCGCACGTATTATGCGTCAAAAGGAAGTCGCTTCACGCTCCATTGACTTCTATCGTATGCTAACTGATGTATGACTTTCATTCTGTAAGGTTTGATTACTTGTTGAATTAGAATCTAACATGCTATCAGTGATGATAATGGTACTTTGATTCTTTCCATTTCCAAATTTTCTAAATCACAAGTTAGAACATGACTGCTGAATAAATAATGGACGGAGGGCCTAAAAATGTGGAGTAAATGAAAAATAATTGTATATAGACATTTTTTGTATATTTTTTGCTTGTAATTTGTATAGAAAAGGAAGCTAATGAATAATAGTTGAGATTTTTAGTTCTCACGAAAAGCAAACCTGTTGTTGGAATCACTATGTACAAATGTGAAAGCGAATGATATTGCGACTGTTGAGAAAGAGCGGGACGAAATGGAAGTCAAAGTAAATGAAATGGGTATTGCCTTGTATTTTATTTTGGATTTTGTTATCAGTTCGAATATTCAAGTATGTGATCCACGATATCATTTTCTATGATATAATTTCTCTCACAGCGGATGCTTACTTTGATTCTCGTAGTTATGAAATTTCGATAAAATTATAACTTTCCTTTCAAGAAAAAATCTACCATGCTGTGTTTATCAGTGGTATATCGTTCATTGACCAGCTTTGCATTGATGAATCCAACTCAATTGATAGACCTATCACGCGTGATTATTCGACGGGTATTGCACAGATCAGGTTATATTATGTTTCATCTTTACTCCAACAACTTTTCAACATCCTGGTGCGTTTAACTACGGGTAGTAATGAGACCACATTATCGGAATCATCAGAGAGATTGTAGAGAAGCACTGAAAGAATCACGTGACCGAAGGCGGCGTTGTCAGAATTTAGCAGATGTTCGCAGACTAAAAATTCACCAGCTTCTACAGCTCTATACATGTGAAGAAGATGGCCAGCAGGTTATTTTATGACATGAAATTTTGCCCAGTTAAGTTCAGAGGAGCGCAAAAGACATTTTATTTATTTCAGTTTAGATCAGTGATTATTGCAATAGCAACTGGATGTAATGTCGGAACTTTTTTTTTTTAATGTTTTCATGCACTGAATTTTTGAAATAACAGGGAGATTGTGTATTTCAGGTAGTTCACTGGATTGAAGAACTTTACGAAACGTTAGTAAATGGATATAATGAAATACCATATGACTTCAAACAACTACAGTTCGTGCAAAAAAACAGATTGAAAGTTGAAGAAACCGCACGAGTTAGTAACTTTTCTATTAGCAGTTGGTTAACTAACTAGTTCATTGATAAAGGATTTATTTGGGATCATTATTGCTAAAGACTTATTGGATGGATCGCAACGAGAGCTTATTTAGGACTTTTTTAATTCCATTTTCCGATGTTTTCGTTTAACTAGCTTTAGTTAAAGATTTCGGATAAATTTTAGTTTCATAAAAAATTGCGAAAAATTCTAGAGCACATATGGGTACGGTAAACAGCTATGTCAAGTGATACTCGTATTAAGAAGATCGTTAAGAATGGAAGTGCAGCCTGGATTAAAACTGAATCAAAGATTAGAATCTATTTGGAGAAAATTCTGTATTGTTGTGAGCGAAAAAGAAATGAAATTTAGCATCACTGGTGCATTTTATTCCGCAATTCACGAAGTAATTCATTTTATAGTGTTCAAAGAATCCACAAAATTTTGATGAAGAACCTTTCTTTCAAAGCATCAAAATATTTTCCTAACTGGAGTCTTATGGTATCGATAGGTAAATGAGCGCCTTGATGAATTATCGCTTCGACTCGATCGTGAAGCTGTAGAAAAGTGTTCAGAAGGAACATCGCTTAGTAATGAAAAGAAAAGTATTGCAAATGCCGTTCAGGAATTGAAGCAGATTGCTGACATTCTAACTCAAGAGCAAAATAACAAAATGTCCAGGTGATGCTTGAATCTTTATGGTAACAATAGCTGTAATACTACAATTAATCCCACGATTTTCAAAGATTAGGTTGGCTTGAAATTAATCCGAGAGCTAAGTAACAGAATATTCAATGTCAGGAATTTTTTAAATTCTAGCAATACTTCCACCTATGAATTGTGTTCTCAAAACAATAAGCTGCTGGAAGTTAAGATTCTGGTTCCAGAAAACGAAAAAAAACTGGAGAATTATTTCAGAGGCAGAAGTAGTGCAGAGATGTCTTGGGTTCGGGCTTTAAAAGAGATCCAACAAAAATTTGGTGAAGTGAAGCAAAAACAAAATAAACTGGAAAGAATCTGCGAGGATAAAGAATGTAACGATATAAAAGTATCCGCGAGGTTTAGTGTCAATTGATGAATGATAAGTGCAGTGCAAGTGCAGAATGTAGTGTGTTATCAAAAAGCGCACCATCAATGCTTACCATCCCTAGAACACTGTGAATTGTAATGATATTTTTTAATGGGGAGTCAGAAATAATTAGAAGGGTGCCTTTACACGCACAATGTAAGAAGAGAATGATTATGATAGGTTTAATTTGTAACTAAATTAATCGGTAATTCTTCTGCTTTACTTTGAAGTCGCAAAAAGTTCTTAGTATCCTGCAATGCATATTGATATTCACAATGAAATTACCTCTTCTATATATTTTTTCAGCAGTTCACAATTTTGCTAATGCCGTTTTTGCCTAATCAATACAAATTTCAATTCCTTGTTGAAAAACTGGATAATAAAATAAATTTTCAGATTTGATTGTTACGTTTAATATTACTTTTAACTAGATCTGAAACATAACGTATTTCGAAATTTTTCGTTCTATCAGAAGCTGCATTATTTGTTTCAGTTAAAAATAATTATGAATTATTATTCGCATAGGCGTTGTAATTCGAACAGTAGAAATATTCCTTGAAATACCTAGAAGACTTTAGATAGATTTTGAGGCATATTTAGTAATCCCTTCTTAATTAAGGAAAACAGAAAGATCTTTGGGCAGAGGTCACTGCGTTCTGAAATTATTTTGACTCCCTCTCCTTCAATAACAAATACCTTTCGCTTTCCTGTCATCTTTTCCTTTTTTTTGGATTAATATGTGTGTCTTTCCTACATAATGCTTGCCGGATTTCTTTCTCATTCCATCTTTTTATCCTTTACAGCAGCAATTACGAACGATGCTAGCACCTGTTCAAGGTAAGGAAAAATGTAGAGAAGGCAGCAACAATTTAAACATTGAGCAGAGTAGTTTTGAAATTGGTCGAGTCAAAACAGCGTTGGGTCATCTCGAATTGGTCTTTCATTCTTGAGACCATCAAAAGGATAAGTCAGTGATTCAGGTGATAAACTAACGGTCAAGGTAATGAAGAAGTTATGTGATGATTCTAATAATCGTATGACTACCAGATGCAACCCTGTGGCCTTATCCAACCGATACATATCACTTCTTTTGTCTTTTTGGACCATGAAAAGAATGAATTATTTTAGATGATAAATTTTTAAGTGGAATCAAACAATATTTTTAACAAAAATTTGTCCATTGCAGTAGAATTTTATAAAGTGCCAGAATGTGATGGAAGTCTTTCCCGAATATAGCTTCAACATTATCTACCATAGCAGTACTGTATTGCAATCGGGCCTACTTCATGCGCAAAAGGATAGTGACGTACTTAAATTGATTAGAAATAGGAATTAAATTAGTAGAACAAAACAAGTGGTGAAAAAAACTTGTCCCTTAAGGTAACTATAGAAGACTACTACATTTTAGGTATAGTAATCCTATTAACGATGTCATTTTGTAGTGCAGCAAAAGCAATATTTCAGATTTCAGCGTTCTGTAATTACATTCTTTAATCACAACTGTTGTCACGCTCATTCACTATAATGGAGAAATGGCACAACTGGATTGAAATATCTGCTTTAGCGCCCATTTTTGGTAGACTATTGGTGTTAGAGGTAGTCTCAATTAAAAGCATCAGTTACTGTAGTCTCAACAAATATCCTAATTTGCATAGATTATTGGGACGAGGCGTCCACATT